ATTTTATACTTACGAGCTTGATAAACTATCCCTGTATATATCAATTTTAATAATTAACTTATTTATTAATGATGATTTATTAGATTTATTATTATCACAATATAACCGAGATCACACACACACACACACACACACACACACACACACACACACACACATACAATACATTGCATTACAATTTAATTATCATAAATTAGGGCTATGAATTGGAAAACCAAAAAAAAGTCATGATAAATTACATATTTTATTTATAAAGCATGGCGTTAACAATAAATTGACAAAAAGTTATCACATAGCATAATAATCAAGTTAGATTTAAAAATGTGTGGGAAATAAGATTGATAATAAGGTATAATAAATTTTTGGTTATATTTATAGTTAGTTACTTTCAATCTTGTAAATAATATTTATGTAATATGATGCTAGCTAAAATTAGAAATTAAATAAAATGATTATGTTCATGATTTCATTTAATAAATAATTTATTGAATTCAGATTTTAAAAATAACTTTTTTATCTAAATCATACAGTATTTTATCTAATATTAACACAACATTTAAAAAATTTTAATACACTGTATCTATTTTAAATTTTATTAATTGTACTGGATAAATTATATACAAACTTTCAAAAACTTTTGCACAAATATTGCCAAATAAAAATAATTAAAATATATTTAGCATCATTAAAACATTTGTATGTTTTAGTTTACAGTTTAATATTATAGAACATAAAATATTAACAAAAATATTAATTTAACGAAAAAATATCATTGATAATTTTAAAATAAAATAAATTTTTATTAGCAAATAAATAAAACATTTGTATGTTTTAGTTTACAGTTTAATATTATAGAACATAAAATATTAACAAAAATATTAATTTAACGAAAAAATATCATTGATAATTTTAAAATAAAATAAATTTTTATTAGCAAATAATAAACATACCCTGTTACTAAAATAAGTATTATCACTACAGACATAAACCATGTACTCATTGACCATACGAGCGACTCGTGTCCAGCAAATGGCTAAATATTTATCGGTAGTGATCGTCGTAATCATAGTCTGTGTGGATGTGGTACCGGTGCTGGGTATGCCGGGTGCTCAGGCACAATTGATTGACAATAGACTCTATAAACACGTGATTAAGACCCGGTCGACGGCGCAGAGATATTGCGGCAGAAATATAGTGAATATATTGAGCCTATTATGTGACGGAAATTATTTCAGTCCATCGAAACGCAATCATTTCAATATTAACCACAATAATGACCAAGATAATAATAATCACAACAATAATAATCATCATAATTTCGATAATCTCAATAATGGTTTGTCATTTAAATTTAAAATAAACTTATTGTTCATACTAGAATTAAATTATTAATATTATAAAGAAAATTATTTTAATTAAACACATGAGTAATATAATTAAATAAAAATGGTTAGTATTTTATCGACTTTTCAGTGATAGACCAATTTTTAAATAAATTAGTTAAATTATATACAAGCAAGCAAAATATTAAATTAATATACAGTATTTTGTTAGTATCCAAATAATTATAATAATAATTTTATAAACATAATTTGCATGTTTTATTTTTTGACTTATCATTTATAATAAGTTTTAAAATGTAGCATTAAGTTTAAATTGAATAATACAGTATAGTTATTTACTCAAACCAAATTATTATAATTGTATTTCAAAATATCTATTTTTAAGTAATTTCTAATTCAACAGTTTTGTTATCATGATAAAAACTACATTAATTAATTTATTATTCAAAAACATTAAGTCAATATTATGTTCATATTTTATGTATGATTATGTTAATATTATATACATTTTAATATATTTTTAATAATAATAGTTTTACATCATTAAATTAATTATCTTTCTAAAGTTTTTATTATTATTTGAATTTGTACTTTATAAATTATAAGATTTATGAAAATTATTAGCAAAATCTCAAAAATTATTTTGATTATTATATCATATGAAACAATAAATATAATATATTTTTACGATAAGAAATAATTTATTCATTAATTAAATAAAAATGAAATAACAATAAAATATGATATTATTATAGTTTACCTATTTCAATTAAACTATATAATAATAATTTATAATTCATTATTTAACTTTATACAAAAAAATATGGTTGTGAGCAGTATCTAATCGAAAGTAAATGTAATACACCCAGCACATAAATTAAACTAAAATATAATTAAAATTACAGTTCTACATAAAAAAAATAAAATAATTACACTATACTTAACAGGTATCTCAGAATTATGGGACGTCATCCGCGCGGAAACTACCGGCGCTGATGAGAGCGACTATACCCCGGATAGCTCGGACACCTCCAGTCCCCTCATCAACAACAAGCTGTTTCTCGACGAGAAGCAGGCGCTCGACATGTTTGGCGGTCATCGGGAACGGGACGGCGCCGTCGCCAACAACCGGTTCGGTCGCAGTCGACGCGGTATTGTCGACGAGTGTTGCCGTAAGCCCTGTACTATCAAAGAGTTGTACAGCTATTGCGAGTGAAGGGCTAATAAAATACTTAATTTTTATTTATAACGGGGGTATTCATTAAGTACGTACCCCCGAAAATATTAATGATATCAATATTGTTTCAAAGGTTTTACAATGAAATATTAACTTAGTTGTTTTACAATTATGTATATGTAGCATGCGTAATTTCAAGTATGTCAAATTAAATTAATGTTTATATAATAAAATACGCTAGTATATTTTGGTATAAATTATTATTATTATTATTATGTATTACATGTTAATGAATATGTTATAAATGTAATTGTTAATTATTTCATAATAAATATCTCTTAAGAATTTGTTGCTAGATGCATAAATAATTTTGACATGAGCATACACAATAAAATAATACTATATTCTACATACCTTATTTAATTTATAATTTTTAAATTCCTAATTGATTATCAACATTCATATTAAAATTTATTGTATTTAATTAACCATGTTTAGTGAAATAATATTAACTTAAAATATAAATTATAAATTTATATACACATTAATAATAACAACCACTCAAAACCCAAATACATGTTTCAGGGTACCTATAATAACTACTAGTACAAATAATTTTTGTTTGTTAAAATAAATTTAATAAAATAAAAAACATAAAAAATATTGTAAAATGTGTTTAAAATGTAACAATTTAAATAAAAATGTATTGTTTTTGATAAAAAAAATATTTTGTATTTACACTTAATTACAAAATTAACTACAAAGTGGGTGTGAATGAGTGAATAAGTGAGAGAGCACAATAATAATAAAAATATATGTTTCCAAATAGACCTTACATAATATTTGAATAAATATAACAAAAATTAGATTAAATATGTTTTTCATATATATATTTATCGCATATTATTTGAATAACACATTACAGACCCACTGACCTGTTGAAGGCCATGTCCCCTCCCAGGGATGACTACCGTTACTGTTAGAGAGAGAGAGAGAGAGAGACTGAATGATAAAAAAAATTGTAAACAAGTGAAAGTAAAAAACAACTGCTAAGTTTAAAAATAAAAGTTCATTGCACCTTTTTTACACTTTACAAGGAAACTCAAGGTAATAGATTATTTTCTTACAGAAAAAATGCGTGAATTAAAATTTTACTCGATAAGTTGCATGATACAGTATTAAATTATTTATTTATGACTGTGATTATTTCTAAAATTGAATAAAATATATTAATAAAATTTTGTGTTTATTAAGAAAGTGTACTAGATAAAGTCAATTCACACATTCACCAAAAAGTGTATTGTAGTAAGTAATATATTTAAATGTTTAAATGTATTATATTCATTATGGTAATATGCATAATATATGACAATCTGTAACTAAATTCAAATTAATTTTAAAATTATTTTTAAATAAATTTTATTTTTAAATATTGGAACCATAAACACAGCTTTAAATTTTAGTTTAGTAAATTAAAATCAACGTTCATTGGCAACAAGGTAAATTTTATTTTAACTAACAATTTAAGACTATTTTGCGTTCATTCGTGTTATCAATATTAGTCGTAATAATTGCGTAAAAATATAGACATAATTATATATTTATGATATATTTTTCGCTATCAAAGCACTTGTTTACAGGCGGATGAGAGGGGACAGACCTATCGACCCACTGGTGCTGAAGGCCAGACATCTCTAGGGAGTGGTATGTCCTCTAAATTTACAGTTAAACTACTTGTACAGTATATACCGTATGTTTTCGTAGAGTTTCGATCTATTATCTAATCTCTCTCTCTCTCTCTCTCTTTCGACGAGAGAAAGTTATAGACATTTATTATGTATTTTCAGTTATTTACTGTTGACTATTGAATGCATACAATAATAACCGTTAGATTATTACCGATAAGTGTTAGCATAAAAGTTCAATGATCTGTCTGCTGTAATGTAACTTGTTAAGTTTAAAAAATATAAATATGAATAACATAAATATTCAATAAAATTGCATACTTATAATTAATAAATTATTGGATAGGCTATTGAATAAAATTTAATTTTTTATGTAATATATTTTTACGATAGACATACTGTATAATTAGTGCCAAAATTTATCTATTGGCACAAAACACCCACCTCCACCTAGATTCAAACATAAACATTTATAAACTAATTTTTATAATAACAATGCAAATTATAGTTTTTAAATTTAAGTTATTTTTATTTACAGAATTTAAACATTATATAATTTATTATTAATATATTTCCAATGTCAAGGTAAATTAATATAGTTAACGCAATGATCTAACATAAGGTACAATATAACAATATAGTAAAATCTTTAAAAAATTATAATTATTATCCTAGTACCTCGATCCCTTGAATGTTAATAATAAATTGACTCAAACAGTGAAAGCCTACTTTTTTCATGTTAACCCTTTTCATTAAAATAACTAAATGGATAGGCCTGTGCTATACAGAGCTAAGTGTTTACTACATGTAACTGTAAGCAATGCATAACATTGATATTAGAATACTATAGCATAGTATAATACTATAGTGAATATACTATTTATGCTTTGTGTACAGTTTGAGTGCAATAAACACTTAGATCTGTCTTGCATTTAGAAGTCCAAATATTATGTATAATAAATCATTTAAAATATTATAAACATATGATTATAAGCCCTTTGTTTAATATTTAGTTTTAAAAATATTTATAATAATCTTTCACAAATAAATTACAGTTTGTACATATAAATATTTATGTTTAATTAATAATTTGCTCCTATAGACTAATATAATATAAATTATAATAAAATATGTTAATTAAACAAATGGTGAGCGTTAACCCACCTTGTTATTTGTATAAATTTTTATAATCTTAATACAGTATTAATAATAACAATGAAATTTACAGTTTTTAAATTATACAGTATTATTTATATATACAGAATGTAACTGCACATTATATAATTTATTGTTTATACCAAGAGCATTTATAATTAATATATTTCTAATAATTTAAGATAAATTAATATAGTTAACGCTATAATCTGAAATAAAATACAATAATATGTTATAATACAAATTATCATACTAAAAATTAGCCTAGTACCTCGTATCCCCTGAATGTGTTAATAATAAATAGATGCCAACAGTGAAAGCCTACTTTTTTCGTGCCAACCCTTTCCATTAAATTTAATAACTAAATATACAATAAATAATTTTAAATATTAGCAACCCCTGAGGTATTAAATCCAGTTGTCTAATATTTAGTTTATCAAAATATTTTTAATGTTTTTTCAGAAATAAATTACAGTTTGTACATACCTTTAGTTTAATTAACAGATTGTTCCTGGTAAGCTTTCCACAAAATATTGCATTTAATAACTTATAGGACTTATTGGCCTCGAAATACAATTGAGACGAAAATGCGATAATAATTAATAAAATGAGTGAAAAACAGATACAAAACATAAAGTATCCGATTCTGAAGATCAGAATATTCTGCGAAAAGAATACCATGAATACAGTGGTGGACACCATG